ACAGAGCGAGTTCCAGGACAGCCTCCAAAACAATTCAGAGAAACCCTGTCTCGAAAAACCAAAAAACAAACAAACAAAAAAAAAAAAAAGTAAAGAAAAGAAAAGCTAAAGCAAGATGAAATAAACAACTTAAATAGACCTCTGCCATCAGGTGATATAAAAGGAATAATTTATAATCTCTAAGGCATGGTTTGCTAGTGCAAGCCTTTATTCCCAGCTTTGGTAGGCAGATGCAGAGGGACATAGGGAGAAGTAAAGAGAGAGGGGCAGAGGCAGATCTTTTTGAGTTCCAGGCTGAACTGGTCAGTATATCAATTTCCAGACATGTCACAGCTTCAAAATGAGATCCTGTCTCAAAAGAATGAAATGTGCAAATTTAAAGAACATTTTCAAATCCTTTGTAAAAAGCCAGTATCATTTTGATACCAAAACTATAAAAAGATCCACCAACACACAGACACACACACACATAGACACACACAGTATCTCTGATGACTATGGATGCAAAAATTCTCAGTAAAATACTTGCAGGCTAACTCAAGAATACATAAGAACAATCATCTACCATGATCATGTCAGCTGTATTTCAGAGTTGCAGGAATGGTTCATCATACATAAGTCAACAAATGTGATCTACCTCATAGACTGAAGAAGAGAAACTACATACCCACCCAACTACTTGCTGAAAAGTCCTTTGACATAATCCAACATTCCTTTATGATAGAAGCTCTACAGAATCCAGGAATACAGAGGCTATATCTCAACACAGTAAAAGCACTATACAGAAAGCCCACAACCAGCATCTTTCTAAATGAAGAAAAATCAAAGAATTTCCACTAAAACCACAAGTAAGAAAAGAGAGTACTCTCCCCCGTCCTATGTAGTTTAGTACTGTCGTTTTATTTAGGGCAATAAAGGATGTAAAGGAAATAAAGGTGTTAAAAAATAGAAAAGAAGAATTCAAAGTACTCCTTTTTTGCACTGATATTCTCTGCACAAAAGACTGTAAAGATTGTTATAGAATACTTGTATAGCTGTTAAGCATATCTAGTAGAGTAGCCATATAGAAAACTAACACCCCAAAAATCGGTGCCTTCTTTGTGTATATGCTGTTTTTTCTTTGAGATTTTAAATTAATTAGAACATTTCTCCCATTTCCTTCCTTCAAACCTTCCTATTTACCCCTTTTTACTTTCCTTCAAATTCATGGACTCTTATTAATATTAATTGTTATTACATGCATATAGTAACTTTTTTAAATATTCAAGTGATATCTAGAAGGAGATTAGTGGAACAGCACTGTTCACATGAGCCTCAAAATAAACACATAAATGAAAATCTTAGAGTGACTCTAACTAATGTGCTGAAAGAGTTCTGCAATGAAACATTAAGACACTGAAAAGGGAAGTTGAAGGATATAGCAGCAGATCGAAAGATTTCCCATGATTATGGGTTGACAGGTTTACTATTATAAAAATGGCCACCCTGTCAAAATCAATTTATAGATGCTATGTAATTCTCATAAAATTACCAACACAATCCTTCAGAGAAATTGAAAAATCATCTAAATTTCATATGGAAGCTGAAAAGACCCAAAATAGCCAAAACAATTTTGAAAAACAACAGATTGACCTGGAGCTTATCATCTCAGAATTCAAGGTATACTACAGAGCTATAGTAATAAAAGCAGCATGGTACCCATATAAAGATAGATTTATTGATAATGGACTAGAATTGAGGACCAAAATATAAGTCTTACACTGTTACCTGATTTTTAGCAAAAATAGCAATAATACACATTAGAGAAAAGATAGCTTCATCCAATAATGATGCTGGTGAAAATGGACAGCTACTTGTAGAAGTATGAAACTATCCCTACTTTCATACCTTTCATAGAAGTATACTCCTAGTAAACTAAGGGCCTAAACAAAAGCCCAGTATGTGGAATATGAGAGAGATTTGGTACAGGAAAGGATTTTCTGACTAAGCCCTTGATAACATAGGCATTAATTAAAATGGTAACAGTTAATAAGTGGCACTTCATGAAGGAAAAAAGGTTTTATGCAGCAAAAGGGCACCATCATTTGAAGTAGAGGGTGCTTATAAGGTGAATAAAATCTTTACATCATCTGCAACTGACAGAAAGTTTATATTTAGAATACACACACACACACACACACACAACTAAAAACAAAAACAAACAGTTCAACTCAAAATTGTAGAAGTTAATTCATTCCATGGGTCATAGATAATTGAATTATTGGCCAAGGGGTCCCATGGAATCCCCCAAACAACTACAACCATTGCCAAGGCTGTTTTTATCAACTGATGATAAGACAACACCTGCATAAATCATTGAACACAGAGAAGTTTTACTGTGTTCCTACCTAGGGCTTTCACCTCTGCTGACCAGTGGTCATGGTCCTGGAAGTTACTCTGCCCTCTACCAGAGGAGGAAGGTATACACAAATCCATCTATAAACTCTGTGATCTCTTGTGGTGACCTGCCTGCATGATATGTTGGTGCAATAGTGTCTTCAAAGTGGTGGGAGTAACCACTCACTATCTGATTGCATTTCAGGCCCACTCCATGTGCTGGAACCCATGCCTGACAATACCTGCACGGCAAAACCCAAGTATTGATAGGTCATGAACCTAGGAGAAAACCGAATTTTACTGTTTTGCCAAAAGAACATAGCAATACCTAATGACATTCTACTATACACATAGATCACCCAAAGTTAAGTATATATATGGGGATTTAAAAGGTCCATATAGAAATCAAATCTCTATATTTCAATCACTATATTAAATCCCTGATTTATGCTAGATCTTGTTTCACATGTTCTCTCCTTTATGACCTGCTTACCATGGTATTATTGTGAAAGGACTCTATGTCATATAATTTCTTCTGTAAGTCCATTAACTTATTTCTGAGGTGTCAGTGTCTGCGTTGACTGAAAACCTAGCCCCATAGGAAAAAATTCCCAATTCGGTATTTGCCAAAGATGGTTCCGTGTTTTTAAAGAAAAGAATATGGCTTATATCTTTGTGTTTCAGAGGATCTGGCCTAAATTAACTTATCTGTTTAAATAATAGCATATGTAATCTGAAATTTAGCAAGTTGAGAGCCCTAATCATTAAGCAGACCCTCATGTATATTGAATTGAAGATTAGAACTAGTCAGTATCTTGCGTTAAACTAACTTTTGTCTTGTGTTTAGAGTACTGTACCCAATGGGCTCGTAGAGTGAGCAGCAAAAACAAAGTGCTTTTGTAAAGGAAACATGAAGGCTGGATGTTAAAAGGGAGTTGAAGAAGAAGGAAAGTGTTTAAGAATGTAGATAATCTCTGTAGCCTCAGCTGATAGTGTTGGAAACTGGGAGAAAAGTCCAAATTCAGCAGCTTTTTATATTCCAATCTACATGGGCGGTGATGCTTACCAGGGGTTAAGAGTAAGGGAATAATTAAATATGACTTCACTGTGGCATTCACACACTCTAGCACAATATATTACTCTTGATCAAAAGGTATAGTTGAGAAAAAATACAGAGGAAGAATTAGTTCAATGTTAGTATACTGGGTATAAAGGAATGACATTGTGTCTAAGTAGGTGTTTCTTACAATCCACAGGAAATAGACAACTATCCTTCAGGTAAAAGGAACACTGGAGGTCCACATTTGAAGATCAGCTGCAAACGTACAGGATGAGTGAGTTTTCATGGGAAATATTTGTGTTAGGAGCATGGCTAGACAAATCATTTCAGTGTGTCCAGTGGATGGGGATAAAAATAGTGATAAATCAAGCTACCATTCACTAAATCAATAACTTGTCAAAAAGCAGTCCCCTAGTGTTATAGATGGAAAGCAGAGTGGGAGTTTAACGCATAGAATGGAGGCAAAGGCAAAAGAAGTACCGTGCCAAGCCAGAGATTGTGTGATGAAATTGATTAGAGTAAATATTAAATACAGTGATTCATGATGACTAGGGTGGGCTTGTTAGGAGGGAATATATATTTTCCAGAATTGGATGGAATGTTGTATTTTATTCACAGGTAGTATAGAAATGAATGTTTTGGAGTTTATTCAATGGAAACAAAAGGTATAGAGTGAAATGGCCTAGGAAATCACTTCTGGAGCCCGAGGAATGTTAGAATTATCATTACCATTTTATATTCTGAACTTTAAACCCAGAGCCTTGAACATTTTAGGAAACTTTCTTCTATGGAGCTACATTCTTTTTTTTTTCTTTTTCCTTTTCTTTGGTTTTTTTGTGACGGTTTCTCTGTATTGTTTTGGAGGCTGTCCTGGAACTGGCTCTGTAGACCAAACTGGCCTCAAACTCACAGAGATCTGCCTGCCTCTGCCTCCCGAGCTGGGATTAAAGGTGTTCACCCACCAACGCCAAGCCCAAACATTTTTAATTCTTTAGAATCTTTATTGACATAGACAAATCAGCAGCTTGATTGTCACCATAAATAAAATAGGGACTGGGAAGTCCAATGTTTTCTGTTCCATTCATCAAACAAATACTGCAAAAATTTTGTTATATTTAGTTATATTAGTTGCCATCCATTGCATGCATCAAAATATGTGTGAGAATGTTAGAAATATGAAGGATGTAAAGCTTATCAGTATACAGACATATGCAATGTACATTCACTTTAGATCTATTAGACATTGACTTGTTAAAACCACGTAACAAAAGTTGGTGTATTAATTGAGTAAGAATTTATAAGCAGCATGTAAATCCTAGTATGTGCATTGTTCTCACTGCCAGAATTATATTAATAATTCTTTTGAATATATTACATAATGAACAGATGAACTAAGGAGCCAGAGTTTGAAGTGAAGTTCTCTTAACTTTGCCTAACTTGTTTAACTTTGAATTGATTAGAAACATTCTTTAAAAAGTACACTCTAAGTCTAATCTCAGTCTTTTAAAAACATTTTGTATTTCTCAAAGAACACTAATCAGAGACAAACCCAAGCTTACCTTGCCAGTCCAGTGGGTGGAGGATGGGTCTTGGAAGCTGGCAGTCTCTGTGTGGGTTGAATCTGGTCGGGCTGGGATCCGGATATCCTGTGGGCAGACCTCAGGCCTCTGGTGGTTCTCTTCTTGGTTCTTTTTAAGAGGCCTAAACACAACAACAGGATTTTTTTTATTTTTTTGAAAATTCTGTGTAAAATTAAAAAGTTTAAAATGTACTTAGGCCTTTTAATACACTGATTTTTAAAAAAATATTTCAGATCTTTTATTCCAATGAACTATTTATTATTCAAATTAAAAGAAACAACTGTCTGTAACAGGTCCATACATCTTTGTTTTGCAAACGCTTGTTTCAGTGAATGTTGTATTTATGTTTCATTTGACATAACACATGAATAAGAGCCCACAGTTACATACTAAATTAAAATTGGAGTTGCATACATAGAATCTGTGGTGGGATTTCTTTGAGTTGCCTCATTTATTCTACTTTTTTTGGTGAATTTTCAAAATTTACTCCATGCATTAATTATCCAGTATTAGCCTCCAATTTTCTTTATTTCTTCATATTTTGAAGGCATTGCCACACCAAAATCTACTGTACTTTTACTAATTACTTGAGCTATTTTTTAAATTTTTTTGTTATCCAGTTGGATTAAAATTTTTACATTCACAAACTGTTTAAAAAGAAAGAGAGAGAGCATGCTGTCATGTTTACTGTTTAAAAATCCCCAGTCACTTATCTTTTTAGCCCTAGGAACATTCAGTTCCTCCTACTCCCCCGGGGAATACATATAACTGTCCATGTGTCTAACAGGATTAGAAAACAAAACTCCTGTTACTCACATATCACAATGAAACACCAGTACATGGAATTTTACATTGAATTTTAGCTTCCACAGATTATCCTGTTTTTTTTGTTTGTTTGTTTGCTTGTGTTTTGTTTTTTCTTACTGACTTATTTGGGGAATGGTAAAACATAACCAGTTTCTTACAAGATGTTAACAGATGAGGAAATTCTGCATCACTGTACTAAGGAGAGCAGATGATACAGGCAGCTAGCTCAACTAAATGAGCTTTTTAAATGCATGCAGTTGTAATGTCCAGGTGATCCTATAGTATGCATGGTAGTGAAGGAAAACTGATGGATGACACAACATTCCATGAACAAAGCAATGAAGGATCCTAGCAAAGAGAATCTAGACAGGCTGATCCTTCATTAAAAAATATATCCCATTGTTTTTCCATATCATACTCAAGAGGCTAAAAATTCTATCACCTTAATGACTATGAGAATTTCTAGCAGTTCTCTGGATTGCATGCTATAGCCTTGAACATTGTTTCTTTCATTGAATCTCTTGATCTGTGTTGTCTGCTGCTGCATATTTTGGAACCACATTTGAATTGAGTTCAACAGCATGATGAATAATTCGTTGTGACATGAGTACAATTTCATTAAAAATTTTGTGCCATTCTATGTTACATGTACAAGAAGTTAAAGTGACTCCTACCATCTCTCCCATGTTTGAAGTCTGGGGACAATTTTGATACTTTTTTCTTTGATAAGCTGTAGGAATGCATATTGACTGAATTTTTTTAACTTTTTAAATTTCTAAAAAGATTAAGATATAGTTGAAAGTAATTTCCCTGTAATCACAAGCTAATGTCTATATAAAAAGTGAGATATTTCCAAGTAGATGTCTTTTCTGTTCTTGATTTTTAAGTTAATCTTTGAAAGAACATTCATCTCTTAGTTGTCTTTATTTTGTGTTATTTCTGTTCTCTGTATCATCAGAAATTTCCAATCTTCTGCTTTAATGTTATTAGCTATTCATTCTTCATTTTTTAAATGCCAGAAATGCAAAATTCCACCCTATATTAATGCAATTTTATAGTTAAGATTTTATGTCATATAAGTTCAGACATTTAAAGTTATAGTTCCCAGAAGAATCCTATTTCAGTCACATTGTATAAACTGATATTAACGCTGAAATGTATCATCATTACAATAATGCAACATACTTACACATGCATGAGGATACAGTTATAGTTGTTGAGGGAATCATAATTTTGCATTTTGACTTTCTTGCACATATAGTTTTAGCCATAATTTTAAGTTAGTGAGTTTTCTTCATTGACTCTAAGGTAATGTATTTGTTGCTATGTTTATCTTAAATATAAGTTTTCATTGGCTTCATTTTTTTTCCTTCCATATGTCTATAAACCTGTACTCAGATCTGCTATCTCTACAAAGAAAAGTACAAAGAAGCACTTCTGTACAAAAGTGGTTTTTAGCCTCAAGTATGGTGATATTCTCTTGGTACCCCCCTTCCCTGCACACATGCACACACCCAAAAACATGTCCTCACACTCACACACTTATGTTAGATTCTGGCACATTATAGAAGCAGGTATCGTATCACTACCTGCTGTTGAAAGTGTTGATGATACTGAATTATTTATTTTATCTTATTCTACACTATCCAAAATCATTTTGGGTACTTTGACACATTTTGGTCTCTTCCATATGGATACTTCATGGTGGCAGAGTTGCCAGATGCTCAGGTTTTGTGACAGTCTTAGTTTTTCAAGGACTGTTCTTGGGAGAATCTCGCCTTGTTACTGATTTCTATAGAGTGGTAAAGTATGAACATTTATTTGAAAGTGCTTTTTAAACTAAAGAATTATTTTTATGAAAAAGTTACTTGATTGTCCCCCTGGAGTCTATGAACTTTGGGGACTTACTGAAGGACACTTTATCATTCAAATGCTTGGTGTTATATTTAAAATTACTAACAGAACTGCATATAGATTTGGGGATTAAACAAATTTGGGCATCTTTCACTTTTACCATTTGAAATATCGAAGTTTTGGTATCAATATATCTTCTGCTACTTTTTTAATATTTCAGTTTCCAAAAGGTAAGAGCAGCATGTCACTATATAGTTTAATTTTTTCCTTATTAACCACATAGATTCACATATGTGTGCGCGTGTGTGCGCGTGTGTGTGTGTGCGCATATATGCATATGTCACATATATGCTGTGCATAAATATGTTTCTGTAAGCTAAATTGTTGGGGAATATTATTTTAAGTTGTGTTACTTTTGTTTATATTGCATTTGTTTTTAACTCTGTGAAGCTTTGTGGCTGTGCCTGTCTAAACACCGGATGCTCTAATAAAGAGCTGAATGACCAATAGTGAGTCAGAAGCAAGGATAGTCAGGGCTGTTAGGCAGAGGGTGTAAATATGAAGAGAAATTTGGGAGGAAAGGATCTGAGGAATGAGTGAGGAAGGAGGAGGACATCAGGGGCCAGCCACCCAGGTACACAGCCAGACAAGGAGTAAGACAGAAAGAAAAAGCATAGAGGAATAGAGAAAGAGAAAAGCTCTGAAATCAAAGGTAGATGGGATAATTTAAGTTACGAAAAGCTGACAAGAAAAAAGACAAGCTAAGGCTAGGCATTCATAACTAAGAATAAGTCTCTGTGTGTGATTTATTTGAGGACTGGGTGTTGGGCTCCCCAAAAGCCTAAAGAGTAAGGGGCAAAAATATCACACTACACTATATATCTACTCAATTAGTAGAAAGTAGACATACGTGATATAAGGTAGCTTTTTATGTTTTCTGGGTTAGTAGATATTTACACTCTCCTAATTTTTTAGCAGTTAACTATCATTGCACACTGAAGTATCTTTCAGTGCCTATTTCAAAGGTTTATTTTTTATGTCAAATACCAAATTAGAACTCCCTTTTTGCTTCATTTATGACATTTTGCATATTTCCCGATACTTGTAGACTACATGTACAGGTGGATAAAAGAAAAAAAAAATAGTTCATTCAACTTAGGAAACTTTCATGTCTGGGATAGATGTCTGACATGACTGAGATAGCACATGGCTAGATTACCATTGTGGGGCCTTGTGACACATAGGCATAGATCATATGATTATTCAGTGGAGGCATTGCGAGACTAAAATAATTTGAGAGGTAGATGGATGCTGGTAGAGTCTCTTAGTTCATATATTTACTCATGTTCGAATCCATTGTATGTGGGCTTTATGAGGCAGATGCAAAGGCAAGTGTTTATAAGGTTTTTATTGGCTGTAGAAGTTCTTTCCCCCCTTGTGTATACTAGTTTTCATCCAGACTTCTTGATTGAAGTTTTGTGCGTTATTGGTGTTAGGCAACCAGACTTCCAAACTCTCCTCCATGCTGTCTCTGGCACCACCTCTCGCTCACTTAGAGCACCCTACTGCCTTTTGCACTTAGTCACTTGGCGTGGAAATATTGAGTAGGAAATTGAATTCTTTCTTGCTGTGATATATTTGATGATTGTGATATATACTGTGATATAATAGATTAGAAAAAGAGAAATATGTATCTGAAGTTACCATGTAATTTAGATTGTGTTGAATGGCTTTCATGCTTTTTTTAAGGTATTTCTAATATTATTTTGTAGTGTTTTATGCATTTAATCCCCTTCCTCTGTAACTCTTAATTTATACATAAAAAGTCAATTTTTAAAATTGTCAATGAAAGCCAATTAAAATGGTAGGCTTTTTTCCCGTATTTAAATAGCTGTACAGACCCTTTATATTTCCAGTTTATTCTATTTGATCTTACAAAGGCTGGCTTTTGAGTTTTTCCTCTCTCTACATAGACTGAGGAATTTAAGTTAGAATTTTCTCATGAAGGATTCAGGAAATCAATGTTTATAAAAATGTTTGTCTTTGAAGTAAGAACATAAAAGGTCATAGGCTTGGAATTCACACCTTCAGGCTTTTTTCTGTTGGAAACAATGAACTACATCATTGAACATTTTTAAAAAATTTATTCTTATCATTTTACATCCTGATTGCAGTTTCTCCTCCCTACTCTCCTCCCAGTCCCTCCTTCCTACCTCCCGTCTGCCACGCCCCCCATGCACTTCTCCTTTTCTATTCTGAAAATGTCAGCCCTCCCATGGAAATCAACCAAACATGGCATATCTAGTTGCAGTAAGACTAAGCTCTTCCCCTTGTATTAAGGCTGGACAAGACAACCCAGTATGAGGAAAAGGGTTCCAAAAGCTAGCAAAAGAGTCAGACAGCCCTGTTTCCCACAGATAGGAGTCCCACAAGAAGACTAATCTACACAACTGTAACATTTGCAGAGGGCCTAAGTCAGTCCCACGCAGGCTCCCTGGTTAGTGTTTCAGTCTCTGTGAGCCTCTATTAGTCCAGGTTAGTTGATTCTATGAGTGTGGTGTCCTTGAACCTTTTGGCTCCTCCAACCCCTCATCCCCCTGAGGTTTGCCTGATGTTTGGCTGTGTGTCTCTCTGTTTCCATTAGTTGCTGGATGAAGCCTTTCTGACATCTAGGTTGTTTCCAGTTTCTGGCTATTATGAATAAAACTGCCATGAACATTGTTCCTTGTAGTAGGGTGGGTCCTTTTTGTATATGCCCAGGAATAGTATACCTGGGTCTTGAGATAGATCGATTTCTAATTTTCTGAGTAACCAACATATTGATTTCCAAAGTGGTTATAAAAGTTTGCCCACTAACAATGGAGGAGTGCTCCCCTTGGCTCTGCATCATGTCCAGTATGAGCTGTCATCAGTGTTTTTCTTAGCCATTCTGACAGGCGTAAGATGGAATCTGAGAGTCATTTGAATTTGTGTTCATTGAACATTTTGTTTATCAAACATCCCTTGAGTGCCTACTATATACAGGATACTTTTTAAATTTATAGTAATTGTCTAGTGATACCCTTATAATCAAAGTGATATGCAAAATAGCAAAACATCAGGGTACTAAATAATTTATGGGAGGTGCTTTTCTATGTATATAATCACCAAATTCAGAAAAGACCTAGAATAAATATCTTCGATTTACCAACGCTAATATAGGAGCAATAATTGAAAGACAAGGATAATCTCTACGAAAAACAGCAAAAAGATATCAGAAATCAAATGCTAAAAAATTCATCAGAGAAAAAGCATTCTGGAAAACATATCCAGGACCTAGAAAGATGGATCAACAATTAAGAGTGATTTCTCATCTTCCAGAGGGACTGCGTTAGTTTCTAGCCAAGCAACATACATTTTGCAATGCCCTGTAACTCCAAAGACAGATTTAAAAGAAAAAAGAAAATGTTTATAAATACCAAAAATAATTTTGAGATCTAGTGTAAAATGAATATTTAGAAAGTGTTTTAGTTTGTGCTATATAGTTAGTTGTAGAAGTGACGTAAAAAATAGAGCCACCATATTTTTCCTTGTTTGTTTCTCCCTACACAACTGTAGACTAGTTGATATGCAAGGAAGCAGGTTTATTTTTGTTTTGAGTATTTTAATTTTCATTGTGTCTTAAATTTCAAGGCTAAAGAATGAAATTGCCCAAAGCTGCAGTGTGTCTTCCTCTGCATCCCATCTCCCCTCCCCCCCCTCAGGCATGTGTAGTTTTGAGCTTCTTATTTATACAGAATGATCCACACAGATTGCTCTGGCTTTACTGGTCATTGTTTCCTTAGATATGTGTAAATACAGACAAAAACTTCGATCTCCAGTCTTCTAACTTTACAGTGTTTAGAAATGGACATCAGAGACTCTTGAGTGGAGTGAACTACAGGGCAAAGAATGTTCCAATATAAATATTATGTTTGTTAAGGAATAGTCATCAACCGTCGATTAATCAAGATTTGAATTACAAATATTTCACATACTAATTATATTAGTTTGTGGAACTAAAACACTATATGAAGTGTTCCCAGAACACTCCGTAAGTTTGATGTCTTTGCATATTAATTGATTGGTTTATTTAATACCAACAATCATAAATCCCTGAAGATGACAGAAATTTATTAAGTTTATTATACATTCCTTATCTTTATACCAAGTTGATACCCAACTTTCCCTTGGGTAAGCCTGGGATGTATCTACTTAATCATCAAGAGTGTGTGTGGGACCCCACATTGTCCCATTCCAGAATTGGACAGCCCAGTAGATGAAATTGAAGTAATTAATATGAGCTTAGAAATTAGATTTTTACCATGCAATTCAAGAGAATGTTTATGGAAGTCAACTAGGTAATCAGCTGTATGTAGGTACCCATGAATGAAGGAGTGTTAGTTTAGAGAAAGATGACCCATTTACATAATGGCCAATGGTCAAATAAGGCTATCCACCTCAGTCAAATCAAAGTGTTTTACCTGCTGATAAGGACTTATTACCATATGTGGCTGATCACATGCTGATGGTACAGTTTTAGTTCTTCTCTGTCACCATAAAAAATACTTGAACTAAAAATAAAATGCATGATGCTGGAGAGTAGCTGTCAAGTATCAGGAGCCTAAAGATGGAAGAAAAGAACAAACTTTAGTAGTAATATTGAGTGTAAGAATCACATAGAGAGTTACTTATTTACTAAAATAAAACAGATGGAAGAATTTGCTTTTTGTTAAAGGTCTACTGAAGCTATGTGAATTTTATTTAAGAGTACATTTAGAAATAAGCATTTCTATATATACATGTCTGGAAGAACATAGAAAAAAAGGGGGAGTGAATTTGAAAAAGAACAAGGTAGGATTTCGTTGGGGGATTTGGAGGAAAGAACCAGAAGAGGGAATGATGGAATTATGCTATAAACTTGAAAAGTTTAGAAATTAGAAATAATAATATGAAACTCAGAACTGGGAAATCAAGCATGCTGAGTTGAAATTTACTCGAGTTATCTCGGATAAAAGATTTGCTTTAAAAAAAAAAAAGAATGAATAGCACAGCCAAACTGGTATCTCTATTCAATAGTCATGTGTCCTGTTAAGTGGTCAGTAATTACAAGTATAGAGAAACCTACTGAGAAGATTTTATGGATCAAGCTAGAGAAAACTTAGTTCACTAGAGTTCATATGTGGTGGTCATGACATGAGTGAAAGCACTCTCCTCTGTATGTCACTTCATATCTATGCTGTCTAAGATGCAAAATGGCATCTCAAAGATCATATTTATAGGTAAATTTCATCATTTTCTTTATACATTAAGCAAAGAGAATGACAAGTGTATGGCTTTTATTCAAACTCAGCAGAAAAAGAATAGATTCCTTTATTTTAAAGTTCCTTGCTGGTATGAAACAATGAAAGCATATATATATGGACATGATTCCAAATGTATGGACTGATATTAATGTGCTTATAGAATTGAGCCATTTTGGTTAAACAATTATAATAGCAACTTATTTGTATTTGGGCAAAGTGGCAAAATGGTAAGCTAATGATGTAGTCGTTATTTCGAATTTAGTGGACATTTTAAATATAGGTTTCTTTTACAGAGATAAAAGTTGCAATTTAATGCTCTTTGGTGGTCTAAAAACAGCTTATTTCTGTAGTAGCATTGTAATAAGTACTAATCCAGCTTATACAATGATTGTAGTATGTCATGTTTGTGAAGGATTGCCCAACTGCTTTCTCTTGACTTTATGTTAATTTAAAAATATTAAGCATAAAACCTTATAAGATCTTCCTGCTGAGATAAACTGTTCAATTTAACTTGTGCTCAGGCAGCAGCTGTCAGAAATTATCTTGTTCCTAGTGGTTTTTGTTCTCACCTTATGCCCTTTCCTGCCAGAGTCCCACTGTGGGATGATAAAGTATATCTTATGAGGCTTTATTGCTTAAATGGTACCTAAGGCAAGATGAGCATTGGTAGCTGAGGGTTAGCTCCTGACTGAGTGATGCCTTTCATTGTGTAATGATCAACTTTTAAAACTGGTCGTTTGAGTCAAACTAAAATAAAAAGCTGTGGATTTTAGCTAGCTGCCTTCTTTTGTGGGCATTTTTATTTCTCGGGGTTATGGAGCTAAAGATTCAAGGAATTGTCTGTTCCGTTTAGCACTTTACCAGTAAAAAAACAGAAATATACAACTAGTAGATGGAGATAAAGGATTGCTGCTTCAACATTTGTTATAAGATAGAATTAATTTCTTAATGATTAAGCATAGTAAAAGAAATGTTGGTGTTGCAATGTCAAATTATTAAGACTAAAATCATTGACATTTTTCTTCTGAATGTATTGATCCATGCTGAGGAAAATCTTCCTATATCAAAGTATCAGTGGGATTATGAGTGGAAAATATCTAAGATGAAATGTTATTTGGAATGTTAAGTGATTATTTTACTTAATAATATCCCTCTAAATTCGTCACTTTTACATACAGAACTTAGCAAAACTTGTAAGAGGACTGTGAATGCCACACACCTAATTCTGACAAACTGAATTCTTGTTTGTGCTATTTATACTTAGTAATAATCATTCCTTTTCTGTGAAAGGCTAGTGCTGTAGATTCTATAAACACTTCAAGTTAAACATTTGGCTTATCTACAAGTAGGCTTATAGTCATTGATAAGAAGGATGTTATTTTGTGTTTACATATAGATCAACAGAAGTATTTGTATGCTAAGTCATCTTCCAGTGATAGTAACTGTGCACAATGAAAACATTTCAATGATTTTTGCTTTGGCACTGACTACTAGTATATAGAGAAAACTCAATTTTTCTGCACCTTAGAATGGTTACCTTAATGTTCTCAGCTGTCCAGGTGTTGTTCCTTTTTCATCTCTCTTTGTGGTAGGCATCTCATCAAGGAGCCATTTCCAGGCTGTCTGACTCTTTTATTACTCCTTTTGTGTTTTTTCCTCTAATGCTGTGTATATGACTCCATGAAAGTCAGTATTCAACCTTCTGGGCTGTCTTGATCAACATTTCTGTTCTTCTCAGCTTTCCTCTGTTACACAGTAGGTATTTAAGTAAATGTAGAGTGTGAGCAAATATGTTGATTTATTTATAAACATGGACAGATAAAATTACATTTTTTCCTTCAATCTACCTTTTATTGATTTTTATTTGGTCTCTATCAGGGGTTTTACGTATCTAGTGCCAGCCATTATCAGTGTAGTAATAAAAAAAAAGAGGTGTTTTTTTTTAAGTCTTATTACTATAGGATGCTTTAAAGGGGGCATTGAGAAAACATGCCAAGAGAAAAGACCACACTTCACTATGTAAGTATATTGCATAAATCACAAAGGGTTTTTTCAAAACATGACCATGTACCAATCCTGCTTGTGCACTGAATTTCAGTTGTTGGTTGCATAAAGAGTCAAGTGCGTAAAACTGGCCAGCAAATGTGTTCCCCACCCAGCCTTATCGTTGTTTCTTTTGTCCTACAGATAGAATGTTTCTTGCTTTTTAAATAAAATTCAGCCAGCTTTCTTTTTCTTCTTCTTACTGTCCTCAAAAACTGAGCTGAGCTGAGACTAGTGAACTTTTTTATATTTCCTAGCATTTGTGTTTTAAAAGGTCAGTGTGGTTCTAAGGAACGTATTTACATGTCCATATGGGTTCTGGGTATCTTGGGATGGAAAGATGTGGGAGAGAAGAAGGACAAATGGTAGCCCTTCAAGCACGTCTAGAACAGTAAACCTTTATTTCTTTCTTAGGACCCTCTTTGCAAGCTCAGTACTTAACCTGGCTGAACTGACTGCCCTTCGTCCTGATCTGGGAAAACTGAAAAAGATCTTGTACTTCCATGAAAACCAGTTGGTATATCCTGTCAAGAAATATCAGGAGAGAGATTTTCAATATGGTTACAACCAAATTCTTTCATGGTAGGTATAGATTGTATAAAATTTGGTCTTTGCCATCTTTCCCTTTTCTAAAAACAAATTTATAGGGGTGAGGGTTGTGTACAAACAGACTAGAAAGGCGGGCAATAGGTGCCTTCTATCATTCTCTGCTGGTTCCTATGAGACAGGGTTTCTCCCTAAGTCTGAGTCACCTGTTTTTCTCTGCTAGACTTGAAACTAGCAAGTACCAGAGTTCTTTGTATCATTGCCTTTCTGAGAGCCAGGTTAAAGGCAGGTACTAGATACCCCAGCTTGCTATTTGGGTGCTTGGGTCTGAACTTGGATCCTCTTTATTTTGAAGCTGTTTCTTTTTTACTTATGAGTAATATTTACTGTTCCCATATTTTCCTTTTTAGATGGTTAGTTTATTAATCTGAGACCACTGTAAATCTATAAGAATATTGAGACAAGGGATAGATGTTTAAAGATTCTTTCTATAATATTATTATTTGTATTTCTCCAGGGTTTATAATAACACTGCTATTCATTTTATGAAATATATATATATATACATACATAAACTAATCATCGATTTATACCTTGAACCAGTTATCTTACTGTTTTATATAACATTCAAAATAGAATATAAACTGTTGACAAGGACCTCTACCCCTTGATTCCTTGACTCATTATTTAAATTGTAGAAAAACCAACAAGTTCTTTTATCAGCTGCTTTTGCTGTATCCAGCCGAAATTTCATACAGAAGTTAAAATTCAATAGTTAAGGGTATTTGTAGCTCTTACTTTTTCGTTGTTGGCTTTATTTTTGGCTTGTTTCTTTTGTTGCTTCTAAGACAGAAACTGTAGATAATGGAATATTAAGTTTTAGTGTTTCTCTTCCCTTCTTCCACTGAATCTTCTGAAATGACAGTCTGAAAATACCTGCCATTTCAAAGGTAAAGGCCCTGTCCATTGTCACTCCAATATAGTGTTTCTTCTGATGCTTACTGAAAGAAGTTTATTAACAGCCCCATACTAGCTTTTCTGCAAATCCTGTTGCATAATGACACCAGTCACATGGAATCAATTTGGAAGTGATTACATACACATTACACACCTTTATTAGTAGTTATTCACTACAGAGATTGATAATTTGTTTGAACAGGCCTTGATAGTATGTCCCTTAGTTTAGTTGACATAGAAAATCAGGTATAATGGTTCTGATTGTTTTGAGCATTTTGTAAATGTTTTTCTGCAGTCCTTTTTACAGGCTGCTTAGATTGTGAGGGAGTACTGCTGTCAAAACAGTGGAACTGCTGTAGTCAAATGTCTCATAAAAAGCAACCATTTCAAAATTTCATAATAAAATAAAAAGACTTAATTTTGTCTTGAAATGGCAACAGAAAAAATATGTTTTAAAATGAAAATGAGGGATGGAGAGATAGCTCATAAGTTGAGAGCACTGCCTGCTCTTCCAGCGGACCAGGCTCAGTTTTCACATGGCAGCTTCCTGCTGTCTGTAACTCCAGTTCCGGGCTTCTGACCACCTCTCTCAGACATCCATGCAGGCGAAACACCAATGAATATGACATAAATGTGTATTTTCATGTATTTAAAAATATGAGAATGAAATTCCCTTGTACTTTTATCAGTATGTAAAACATTCATAATATTCTTGTGAGTTCTTGAATTAGTTCCATTTTATTTTTCAGATACTATGGTTTTATTACTCTGAAAAACCACAAGGGAGGAATTAAATATTTTTTCCTTTATGTGTGGCCTTAAAGTTAGTGGAAGTTACACCCACTCATATCAGGGAGGAAATATGTGGAAAATATATTTCTATAGTCCAATGTGAATCTTTAACAACATAGACTAAATATTTTAGATTAATGGTAGTTAGGTGGTATGCCTGTTTCAGGCAGATATTAAATAAAAAAATTAGGTCACTGCCCCTCTTCTCCTTTACAAATAATTGTTTTTCCTTATATGGAGAGAGACTGAAAACTTGCATGAGACTTTTCGTCTTTTCTCCTTTCAAGAGTATAAGCTAATAGACAATCTTGGGGAGAAATAACTGGACTGTGTCATCATTTGGCTTCCTGATGGGAGAAAATTTTTTCACAGTTGTTCAGAGGAAAAATAAGAATGTCAGAAAGCAGTTCTGTTCCAGTTTCTTTGAAAAGTACAGCTTCGTCTTGAAATGCTTCTTCAGCGTTCTTGCTGACTTCTGCTTTTGTTGGCACTGTCAGCTTTCTTCCTGGACTGTTTGGCAGTTCAGGATGTTAAAGATGACAGACACAAGCCATCACCTTAGATAGAGGTTTCACTAACCCTCTGACTTATGGACACATGCTGTAACTATATATTATGACTCACTGGTCACTATTACAATATATGAGAAATGGTGCAAACAGACTAGCTGTAAACATTCTTCAACTTTTAGTATATTATTGTATTGACTTCCTTATTGTTTAGTTTTGTGTCAGCACTTTTGTGATATTCCTTTGTGTTATCTGTGTTGTTGCCTCCATTCTCCCAAATTTCACTAGGTAGGAGCTGGGAAAAAAAGAAAAACAGGCAAAAGAAATTTAAAGCAGTTTCTGAGGGGAAGGATAGGAATGGCATGTGAGTATGTCTTTTGTTGGGCTTTTGTTCTGTGGTGTACTAATAATAGCAAACATGCATGTCTAGGTAAGTATGTTGTAAACTAAGGTAATTATTTTCTGTGACACTCACTTTTTAATCTATAAGCTTACTTGTTATGTTTTCTATAACCTTATGCATGCATGTTTCCAGTCTTATGGATGTATTAATTTTGGAATGAAATAAAGCTGTTTTGTCATGTTTACCTTCTTAAGGAATTGTCCAGTAATGCTGAATTGTTGGTCTAACAAATAAGATGTTCTGTGATAAATATCATGCCCAAAAACAACTTGGTGAAAATAGCGTTTATCTCCTTTTACCAGTCACAATCCTACATCCAGTAAACTCATAGAAACACTTCCAACTTGAAGTAGAAATTGAGGAATGATGCTTACTGACTTGATCCAGGACCCCTTTTCCATAGACCATGCCCACCTGCCTCAGGATGGCATTACCTACAGAGGGTTGCACCCTTCCAGAATCAATTAGTGATCAAGAAAATGCCATGCAAACAATGTTCATAGCTAGTCTGATGGAGGCAGTACTTCAAGTGAGGTTCCCTCTTTGCAGGTATATCAAGTTGAAAACCAAGATAGCCATCATATACATATTTAAGAATCAAATCTTATCAAATAAATTTTTGTTCATGTTACACTTCAATGTGTTATCCAGCATATCCACAGCTGCCATTGGCATTCATTGGTGTTGAAGTAGACATTAAGGAAATTCCTGTTACACTTATGTCACCTAAAACCTGCTTTCCCATTTTCTTTAAACAATATTTTTGTATTTTAAAGACACTGAAGAAAGATGGTTAATTTGTTGAAATCAATCGTCAATATTATATTTCTTTTGTTTTTCTAAAGATCGATGATTGTGGTTATCTATATATTCCTTTTATATAATAAATCCCAATAATGTGGATATCTAAATGCATTTTACTATTTTTTCTGCTTCTATGACTGTCCTAAGCATAATGGTGAAATAAATTTAGAGATACCATCACTCCATGTAGTACCAGGAATTAAAAACAATGTCATTTCTTCAAAGGCTAAAACTAGAAATGGACTTTAACTGAATAGTGCTAAAAATACTGTGACACTGTAGGAAAAGCCTCATGAGAGTCAGTTTCTTCAGGGATGGGGAGGAAGCTGTAAAGCTGTTCTCCATAGTAGACTACATAGAGACATGTTTGGGCTTGCTGTGCTTGGTGCTGATGATGGGGTATGTTTATCATGTATGGGGAAATAGGCATTAGTTTGAAGTCTTATTTGATTTCATTTAGCTACTAATTTCTCTCTGGCCTGTCTTCTGAAGCCACCAATCCAACCATTTATGATAGACTACTAAGAACTAACATTTCTGTTTGTTCTAGTTTCATACATACAAACCTAAGGTATAGCATAAAGTATGATTAGTATGCAGAGGTCGTAGGCTTATAAAATAAGGCTTAATGAATTTGTAATTCCCCTTTCTCTTTACAGCTTGGTGGCTGATGTGGTGGTATTCAATT